TAACGTTGATAAGGGATGCGACGGTAGGTACGAGTACTAACTTGATCTGGTTCTTATAGACCAGACGCTTAGTGCAGTACACACGCAACAACGCCAAACGGCAAGGCGTATGAAATGAGGTCGCAACGCAGAAATCCGACGAATGTGGCGGCGAACAACGACGACACACTCTCAACGAGCGGCTTTCCACGTGTCGCGCAGCGAATAGAGAATAATGAACACCCTCCCGGACGAAAAACAGCAAGTGCTACAAGATGTGACGACTGGTGAGAGCGCGGCCCAGAGGAACAGCGACGAGGAACGAGTCGCGTGGCGGGAAGCGAAGCGGAGAAGGGCGGCGAGAGTCCAACGATGGGGACTCGAAGGTAAGGCGTAGGAGGCTACTGATGTGCCTCAAAGAAGGTAAATTGGAAAGTGAGATTGAAATGGTTAGTTGTTTGTCGGCTACGAAGAAGTGCTTGTTAGCATTCTCTTGGTATCCTATGTAAGTATATGCATTTCACTATAATATATTCTAAGTAATCCCTGAGTCAAATCTTGAAGTAGCGTAGCGTAGTAGTGAACCGCGGTTCATTTGAGCCGGGTCAGACTCTACATAGTGAATTTAAATTAAAAAGAATGACTGTCATTGAAGTTCCATATTTGGCAATACTCGTCCAAACATGGTGATTGCCTTCCCGTCAGGCGTGCATCTGCCTGGTCGCTCATTGGCAACTTAAGAAAACAGTTGGCAGTCAGCAAAGACAAGTAGGAAGATAATAGAAGAAAGTAGGACGCATTGGTACCAACGTCATGGCCATCGCTGGCTGTGACGTTGGTGAGTCGTTACATACAGACGCCGTACTGGTATTTCCTGGCACAAATTTTGTGAAGACAGGCGCAGTATTAGCCGATCCTCTCACTGTAAGCTGTGTTTGAAGGATTGCCACTTACCGAGGAATGGCACGAAAACTGGAAGGCCTTCCATGCTTACCTAGAAGGGTATTAAGCCGATACACACCATTTCCCCCGCCATCGCAGCTCGGCGTCCGTACTTCGATGCAACGAGGGTCTCGCCAGACAAATTGGCACCAGTGTAAAGCCTTATGACGCCTTGGATTCGGCTCCGATACTTATTCCTGAGGAGCTCAAAATATATTGGGTGGAGCTCATTTGCACACACGGGTAGCGGCGAAAGAGTCGGAATACAGGCCAGCGCAAAAGCTAGTTGCGTAAAAGACAAAAAATTCAGCACGGGAGAACTGAGAGAGAAGGTATCAGGTGTCAAGTTTGCATATTTTATAATGTCGAAAGCAGCTGTACTTATCAACAAATTATTGTCATTTTTACAGTAACTATTCAGTGACTCTATTTTATCGCTTAGGTCGATATCGTACTTAGGTAAATGGAGCTCTGAAACGACAAACACCAATATTAATCCATGATACAATACTAAATGTGTCTGGACATTGGTGAGCTTGCATCAGCATTATTTACATTGGTGAGCTTACATCAGTAGCATCAGTATTATAATGTCTGGACATCTGTAAGTTTACATTTAATGCAGATTGTTGTCGGCGCATCGGATTTTGTTTACAAAAAGAAAACACTGTACTGTTGACGACCTTTTCTCTCTCTCTCTCTCTCTCTCTCTCTCTCTCTCTCTCTCTCTCTCTCTCTCTCTCTCTCTCTCTCTCTCTCTCTCTCTCTCTCTCACACACACACACACACACACATACACACGAAGAAGGCCAGCTTTTTACAGTACCGTACAGACCAGGTTAGGCAATATAATACTAGTATATTATCGGCAGATTCAGTGCAAGTAGCTCTGCTACAGATACAGACTGTATCTGCAGCCTGAAGCTGCATTTCAGTATGTAAGCAAATTGCTTAGCAGCAGTTATAAGCGCTGGATATTCTGAACATGTATCCATTCTTCAGGTGTTTACAATCGCACCAGAAAAACAATAGCAGTGACGTTTTGGCATAATCTTCCGGCTGATGGTGCTAAATACAATTTGTAAAATACATGTACACAGAAGTCCCCCTGAATAAGTGTAGCTAGTACTTCACATACCCCTTTGTATCGCATAGTTGGAATCAGAGTTACATTAGACAAATCACCAGATTGCGTCGGTGAACCTATGCAATTTTATCAAACGACCCCTACGCTTTTTAATACATGTACGTGTACAGTACTCAACGGGGCGCCATCAGCGCTCGTCAACAACTACCGCAAACTTAGTCAGTCCTACCCATGAAAAAAAAATTTAACCACTTTCCGACTTGCGGGACAGCACAAACTACCATGATCTCGCAACTCGCCAGCCCAATCTTAGCCATGGATGCATTTGAGAGCGACTTTAACTTATCCGAGTTCTTGCACGAAATGGACGAGCTGGACCATCTTCAAGACGTCCACCTAGAGAGCATCACATCCAAACGACCACGCACCCCGGACGCTGACGCGGAACCAGAACGCAAGAGAGTGAAACGCACGGCACCAACTGAGATATCACCAACACCCAAGCCAGCACCGAGAAAAAGACGAAGTACGTCGTGGTTGCGTCGCAAGCAGGAGCTCTCCGCCTTACGCTGCGAATCTGAAGAGCTCGAAACTCGCGTTACATTTCTGCGCATGGAAGTTGATCGTCAAAAGGGCCTTTCAAAAAACTTTACCAGCGGTCACCAAGGATCAAGGAATGTGGAAATCAGTGGCAGCTCATCGTCACGCTAAGAATGCGAAACGTCCTCAAACGAGAATACGCGTTTTGAAGAACGAGGGCGGCTGTACATGCGTGCATCCGAGATGTTGCAGACTCATTGTTCGCAGCAGAGACACGACGCGACACTACTAAATAGTACTGTGGTCTTCGTGGACGCCTTTCGTGTCGGAATGATACGAAGCCGCCAACTGTGCTTCGACAACGACGGAATTATTAGACACGCTAGAGACGCGATCAATGCGCGCTGCCACGAGATCGACTTGATAATGGACGAAGCTCGTCAACCAACTCAAGGCGGCACCTTGGAGCAGGTGCAAGTTTGTCGTGACGGAGACTTGGACGCCGCTGCTGCCGTGGAGTTCAAGCACGCCCGTTTGTTGCCCTTCAGTGAGGATACCATGGCAAAATCCATATGGGAAATCGTCGAACTGGGTGGAGTGGTAACTGAGACCAACAATCGTGTGGCAAGGAGCACTCCTGATATGGTGGGTCTCGTTTCTCGTCATACCGTGCCCCTCGGTAAAAATGTCAGTGTGGATGTAGATGTCCATACGGTGATCAAGCGTTTTAATGTCACGACCGGATTGGTTGCTTTGATCGAATCGCACTCCGAGTGGTCGATTAAAAGCCCCACGTCGGGTGTTGCTCGGTCCACGACGGAAGAAGGAGGTTGGGTCTTGGTGCACGAGTGTCCGTTGATGACACGTGGGACGACTGAGCGAGCATCCCAACTTCAAACAATGGTGAAGCTTCGACCAAACGAGTCCAAGGCGAACGGCAAAGCAAATGTCTTGACAAGTACTATGGTAGAAGTCGTCATCCCGTCGTTCCGCGATATTCTGAGCTCGCACCATCAAAAAGTCGAGAACTTTTTGCTTGACTCGAAATGTAGAAGCTCGTAGTACGACGTGCTGAAAATACTACTATATAATTACGCTGCCGATTTCCATTAAATTACATAAATTCTTTCTTGGTTTTTATGGATCACTCATGCGCCTTGAGTCATCTGCGAGACAGGTCTGCACCAATTTACTTACCGGCGATTCAAACACTTCAAGCGTGCTACATGAAGATGTGAATCTCAATGCTAAGTAGTCGTATCAAAGCCTTTCCAGCTCATTTGACATACATTTTCCGTATCATCCTTTTTTCTCTGGGAGAAAATCCAGAAGTTTTCCTTTTCATTACGTGGATGTTCTCATGTATTATTGCTAGGATTATTAAAACATGTAGTAATACATTGCTGCGACTACAATATTCAACGTCCGACCTTGGTCGGACGTCCCAGGATACTGGCGATCGGACTGGAGCAGCTTGAATGTCGAAATACGGTTCGAAGCAGACGCATGCGGACAGCTCGATTCTGAGTATATGTACTCGTAGGTGCGAGACAGTTTAATAGATTATATGTAGCCATGCCAAAGTGATTGCGCCCAGGAACCCCCGCCACCACTGCTCAAATATTTTAGTATCAGCAGCCAAAAAATAAATGCTGTTAAAGTTTAACAGCCTTTATTTTAGCGGTTTAACTTAAACAACCCAATGTGAACGATAAATTTAGGATGCCATACGTAATGTCTCAAATCCTATGTAAGAGTAATATTGTATCTTTATTAAGTAATTATGATATACAATTGTAAGAAAGAAAAAGCTAATAAAAATACTGGCAAATGCTGGTTTATGGGCTTAATAGAGCATCAACCCAACGCAAAGAAGGGAATACATGAGAGATCTGTGTGGTGTTACCCCACCCCCCCTTCCTTTCGACTACACTGGCAACATTTTACCGTTAAATAAAAAAAGATACGTAAATATTTCTAATTGTTAAGCAGTACTGTACAGCTCACGGGCATCGTAAAATTCGAAGTACAAATTAGTAAACGGAATCCGCACTACGACTTCTCTTATTTTTTGTACAGTACCAGTAAAGCATCTCTGCAGAAAGAGCATGGTGAAGTCGATTCGTCCCCTCCTCCAGCAACATGGCTTCTGGACGAACCAGCCCTGCCTCACCGGCTTCGGTAGCACTTTATTTATTAAAAACGATCTTTCTCTCTCTCTTGTCGCTCCACGCAAGCATTTTTAAGCTTGCGGTAAAAGCAATTGCTGGATTTTTTCAAACGCATGTTGTACCCATCCTGACGTTTTGTATCAGTTGCAAATTGCGCGTTGACGTCACGCCATCATTACTTGGCTTTTTGGCGCCATCAGCATTTCACAAGCGAAACCTGACCACCAAAATTTGCGTGCGTTGATACATGGAGCGCGTTCTCAACGATCACTTTCCGAGTTGCGAGGCGACGCAAATCCCCACTGGCTAACGGACATGTTGTCGCAACTTGCACATGTTCCGTATTCTGCCTTGGACACATTCGACGGTGACTTAATTCTGTCCGAGTTTCTCTACGAGATGGACGAACTAGACCGTGTGCAAGCTTCATCGTCTCCATGCACCGACTCCAAGCGGCGACGAGAACCCGAAATTAACACGGAACCCGAAGCCAAGAAGATCAAATTAACAAAATCGAGCATTTCAACCAATCCACTACCGAGAAAAAGAAAAAAATCATCATGGCTACGACGAAAACAAGAATTGCTCGCACTTCGCGACGAATCGGAGACTTTGGGCGCAAAACTGGCTCATCTTGAGGCACAAGTTGCTTATGCTGCCCTCGAACCAATATCAAATAGCCTTACGGAAGGCCAAAAACTGTGGAAATCCGTGGCGGAGATCGCACGGCAAGAATGTCAAAGCTCTCAAGAGGAGAATATTCGTCTAAAAAATAAGCTGCACATGTGTGCACACGGTTTAGAAACGCTGCAGACACAAGTGGTCCAAGCCAATACTCGTATGTTGCAGCACGAACAGTCTAATAGTAAGACAGCGTTTGAGAACGCAGTGCGCGTTGGGATCATCATGAGTCGACGTTTGCACTCGGACGACAGTGGGATTTTCGATATGCTCGAGAGCAAAGTGGGAGCGAGATTCTTCGAGCTCGACGTCATCGTCAGTGTGGCTCATCAGCCCGTACTTGATGGCGCATATGAGCATGTTCAAGTATGTCGAGACGACGGCAGAGACGCTGCCGCCGCCGTGGAGTTCAGATACGTCCGTCTTCTTCCCTTTGGCCATGATGCCACGGCGAAGACTCTTTGGGAGATTATTGAGTTAGGCGGACTAATCACTGACCAGCACTTTCATGTTGCTAAACGCTCGAACGACGTTATCGGAATGGCGTCACGGTTCACGATTCCCCTCGATAGAGGCAATAGCAACACAGTAAACGTTGATGTACACTCTGTAGCCAAGCGATTTACAGGCCCCTTAGGGATGGTAGTCTTGGTGGAGTCCCGCTCCGAATGGACGATGAGTCATCCTACTGCGTCCGGGTGGAAGCAAGTGACTGAAGAGGCTGGTTGAGTTGCTGTGAACGAACGCCCTCAACAGGCTGAAGGATGCATGCCGCATGCCTGCCAGCTACAGACCTCGATAAAGCTTCGACCCGATGTTTCTGGCGTCGACGGCGTCAGCATAACTCGACCAACTTTAACTGGCAACTTTGGAGACGTTGTCATCCCGTCGTTCCGCGAGATTTTGAGTTCACACCATCAGTCTATTGAGAACTTCTTGCTGGATTCGTCAATAAAAGGATGATTTTTAAGGTATCCTAGGTACACGGCTAAGGTAGGAAAGTACCACGTGGGACTTAGAGTTTTGAAATACAACGGCTAGGAAAAAGGTGAGAGTCATGAATGCGTCAGAGTCACTGGAGTGCCTCACACTTAGGCTAAATTTGTGTCTGGTCACAGAATGTAGACGTCATTTGTGATCGATTACAAAGTCCGCGAAGAAAGCGGTCAGTTGAGATCATTCAGTTCCCTGAAACTGAGCGATACTACATGTAGTATTTATTAAAGCTGGGAGAGGAAAGTTCTCTAAAGTAGAATACAATTGTGCGCTGGTCCAACATCCATTATTTTGCCTCTCACAGGCGCTAGTTGTAGACATTTGGAGAGCAGCCGACCCTTGGTTTGCTTGAGAGCGGATTTACGCGAGCCTGTTTAGCAGATGCAATCGAGTTTAAAGCGCTTTGTCCATTAAATTGCTCATTTCCAAGTGAATCCGATGCCCTTTAGAAAGGGTAGCTCGCACTCGTGACAGCTTCATTGCGAGCATTAATGTCCTGTAAAGGGGACCCCGTTGCTTCTTCAAGCCTTAAAATTATTAAAGGGATATCGTTCTTGTGGCTGGTACCATGATGTAAGCATTCTGGTAATAACAAATCAGACTCGCAGGTCTTCGGGACAATTCGCTAAATAACAGGTCTTTAATAATAGCACATGTATTTAGACGGGCGGGGGGGGCATCGCCAAACCAACCTCAAACTGACCGATCGTGGGTTGTCAGCAAGCACCTGAGGCGATAGTTGGGAAAACTAATCGGAACTTTGGGGACTGGAAGCTCCTTGAGTCAAGGCTTGACATCATCATGTGAACTCATCTTGACTGTCTAGACTTGATAGGAACTGTAGTTCATGTCAAGTTTACTCCAGAATGCCTTTCGTGGCGAAGTCCGTCACCATCAACTGGTACAGTGTCAGACGTTGGTTAGTCTGAAGCGCTGGTCACGGCTCAAGCAGGAACCTGACCATCTGAAGCTGCCATCTGAGAAACGTGACGCCCCCCGTATCGTCCTCAATGCTTTGATCACGACGGCTCCGCCCATGTTTAACACCATCGGATCGTTGCAACGCCTGACAAGGGCGTCGAGGCGTTTGGCGTTTACGATGCCCGATCCAGGCACTCTTTTAACATCCGGCGTCGCCCCGTTGTGGAGATCATGTTTAGACAGCCGGAGGCTTTGGACCAGTCTGCCACGGCGTCCAGGACGGTGACACTCGCGACGCCGCAATCAACTCCGATAGCCCAGCACACATCCGGCTTTGAATCACTGCGAGATTCGTCGGTCTGTGGTTGAACGCGCCACAGGTACGCGGAATCATATCGATGATGACCCTCGGGCCTCTAAACGAGGATAAGACTGCGGCAACGGCTCTTTTCCCATGAGCAAGTTTACTTCGGATTAACCCTTAAGTTTCAAAGCTGGATTGCCATTATTTTGGAAATCTTGTTTGGAGTCTGAAAATCTACAAAACTTGGTCAAACTGTCGGCCGTAATCGGCGACTTGGATTCAGTAAGAAGGAGACAAGGCAGGTCTGAAACTATCTCTGATTGGAGTAAAATACCCTTAGCCAATTGCTGGGCGTCATTATCAGCTACCGAAACGCCACAATTCGTTGAGGCGCAGCGGCTATGAACAGGTTGATTCGGCGCATAAACGGTTAAAGCCGGGTGCCGCCGCAATCCGCCCCCCTTCGTGCAACACAGCCCAAATTTCTAAAACTTGTACTTTGTAAGGCAGACCTCAAAGTGAAATTACAGAGGTTGCTCTATCTGCTGTTGCGCAACTCTTCTTTGCTGTCATCCTCTCCGTTTTTACTGCTTGGGTGACTCGCGCAACATAACGTGGTCACTTCCAAGTGTGAAACGCTTTTCTGGTTCGGCCGGCACCTCAGTTCCGATTTTGCTTGCTCAAGTACAATCGATGCACTGCACGTCTCGTAATGGCGCCGTATTCACGGATATTCCGCCTCTCAAAGCCCAGCGCGACGCCTTCCTAGCCTCGATTCTAGCGCAGAACATGAAGAAATACGCAACCAACAAGAAACGCAGCTGCCCATTTGCAGCTCCAGCCAAAAGGCAGTGTCCTCGTCCGGACGACGACATCAAGTCGTTGCAACAGGACGTGGAGGAACTGGAGGCGAGACTCGCGGCCGCCAGGAGGCGGAAGAGTCCGCAACTAAAGAAACAGGTCGATGCTGAACGTCTGCGAGCCATGCTACAGGCCTGTCACACGCAGGCGCAACAGGACGCGAACGTCAACTTTGGCTTCCACCCGGCCATGCCCAGCTGCAGTCAGCTCGAATACGAGCCCACGGTGGATGCTCCGGTCTTTAAGCAAATGGAACAAAGCGTCGCGGACCAATACAGCCAACTAGCTGAGGTTTTCAATGACGCTGGACTCCATGACAACAGGACAGACTTCTACGACGCTCGTGTGGTTACAGGCGCAAAGCAGGGCACATTTGTGCGATTCACGACAGCTAAAGTTGCCCCATTCGCACTCGACGCTATCAATGGCGCCATGTGGGACGGAGCTAAAAAGAATTCCGTGCTGAATATGGGACCTGGCTTTGCTATTGAAGGCGATGACAGCGACGTCATGTTCCTGAAAAGAGAGTGCATGTTGCAAGGTGAATCGAGCAGCATCCCTGTGCTCCTCCGCGGGGTGTGTCGTCGCTTCGTGGAGCCCCACCGCGTCGTTGTGGTGTGGGAGGGCACTGGGGATTGGCCCAAGGACTACCTACGCAATCACCCGAGCAGCGTCCCGATTCGGGAGCGTGGCTACTGTGTGGTTCAGACCTTTCACAGTGGCAACAACAAGAGTGGCCGGGCCACGCCGCTTAGTTTATTACAGACTTGTGTCTGCATGACGCCTGGTCTGTCGGCAGGTGTCGACATGGACCAACCCGAGTGTCTGCAAATGCTGTCCGACGTCGTGATCCCGTCGTACCGCAAGATTCTAGATGCACGTGAGCAGATGCTCGAGAACGCCATCCTCGACGAGATGATTCACTCCAAGATGCGTGGCTCCAGCTCGAGGATATAAAAACTTCTTAGCGAACGAAGCAGTACGACCAAACATTATAAGAAATCAACATGTGCCATATATTTTTTTTGCAGTTTTTTATCGCTTTGTTGCCGAGTAAATGCCACACAAAAAGTTGCAACTTGGAACTTTTCAAGCGAGTTGGCAACTAGGAAACTTTAAATAAGAAAACGGTTTGTAAATTTAGATTGCGGATATTGACGAAGATCCGTGTAGGAAAGCAGCGTCCATGAGGTGATTGTCCACGCATTGTTGTCGGTTGCGGATGAGTTTCTGAAAGGACGGGATGACGACGTCGCTCACAGCGGGACTCCCGAGGAGCTTCCGACTGGACTCGCAGTCAAGTCCAGTGGGTACACTAGACATGTACACGAGGAACCTTGATGATGAGCCTCGTGCAACCGATCTGGGTGGATATGAGTGTACCAGGCCCCATCCGCTTTCCCTCGTGACGCGGGACCAGACCCCCGACGCAGCCAAATGGGGAGGCCACTCGGTCGTAGACTCGGCCAGGACTACAAACCCTTGTTGCACGGCGAACTGCTTGGCAACAGAGCGGACGCGAATCTCCACCGTCTCGCCCTCCTCGAGCTCAACAGGGAAGCACCAGTCGGACGAGACGACGTCTTGCGAGCGTCTGACAACTCGAGCTCCTTGTCGTTTCCAGCCGAGCTCGGCCACTCGCCAACAGACACTCGAGACCGTGTCCACATCGAACGGCAACACCCGCACGGTCTTGAATTCCACCGCAGCGTGGGTGTCGTCCTTGTGACAGATGCACACGTGCTCTGTGTTTGCAGTCATCACTGGCTGTGACATCTCTTTTGTTATGGCTTGGATCTCGTTGACTCGGGCGTTTACGCTCTGTTCGAGCATATCAAAGATGAGCGCGTCATCAGCCCAGTGGCATTGATTCATCATCATTTCCACTCTCGCCGCAACAGAATTCTGGCAAAGTTGCTCTCTACGCAACGACTGCGCCGTATTCAACGCCGTCTGCAGTTTGCCAGAGTCCTGTACGCAACCCTGAAGTCTCTCCTTTAACTCTTTATTTTCCTGTTGCGAGGACTGACAACGGCGTATCTCCCAGATGGCAGCAGCTTGCCAGCCTCCGCTCTGCAACTCAACAAGTTGCTCCAGTTGAGGAGGCAAGTTAATAAAGCCTTGCAGCATCAGTCCAGGTACACGACGTGCCTGTAGGAAGGCCACGTAGTCGCCCAGAGTTTCCGCTTGCTGCTTGAGCGTCTCGAGCTCTTGTTTACGACGTTGCCATCTCGTCATCGGGGTTTTGTCCTGCGTCGCTTGTGTTTGAGGCTGACGCTTGGTATACGACTGATCTACCGCCTTCTTTGCCTTCTTGGCGGGTCGAGGAGGCGTGTCTATTGCCTTGCGCTTGGGAAGCTTCGGCTCAGGCGTCTTTGGGACCTCCAGGCGATCAAGCTCCGCCATTTCGTGGAGAAAATCTTGCAGAACTTCGTCGCTGTCAGGCAGAGGCGTCTGAGACAGGGGGAACGGCTGTGGTACGAGGATCCCCATTAGATCACGCGTGTAGTGGTGTATCCAGGCGGACAAGAGTCTCCTCTAACCGAAATTGCGAGGAGCGAGGAACGTAAATGCGCACGACTGGCTAAAAACAAAAATGTGTGGACTAAAAAGTCAAGTGTCCGCAATCATTGGTGTATTACGCCCAATTTCGGCTGAGACATGACAAAGTACAGAGATGTCAATTTGCTCTCAATATCAGCCGTATTCGTATAAAACAGGTTTATATCAAATGAAGGGTAAAACAGTACAACACCGACACTGAAAGCAGTATCAATTTACACGATTTACTGTGACGAATTTTACTGTACTTACATGTTTTAATGCTGCAACAGCGGAACTGCTTCTGTTGCTGCTCGTGTCGAGTCTAAGAGTGCGTTCTCTACAAGTTGGTGGCGAGCGCTCAAGACCTCACCGAACGACGGTATCACCACGTCGGATACAACTGGAGTCAGAAGTGTCGGGCCATTCTGCTGTTCATGGCTCTCTGTTCGTAGACGAACTGCTAATTGAACTTGACACGTTCCGGGTCTTTCTTCGTTTGGATGCACTAAAGCCCAGCCCGAGTCTCGAGTCGCGTGTGTCCAGGCTTTCGCCTGAGCGGGATGTGCTCGCCACTCAGTAGTTGACTCGATAAGCATGATGAAGCCGCCCGGGACGATGACCCGTTTCATTAAATAACTCACAACAAGGTCTACAGTGCCTCCTCCTGCCAATGCTTGTGTCTCGCAACCTTGAGAGAGTAATGTGTCATGCGAACGTTTAGTCACGCGCGTACAATGTTCGTCTGGAATGGCACCCAAATGCATCACGTCCCAAACCACTCGAGACGTGTAATCGGCGTTGAACGGCATAAGTCGATTCCGCTTAAACTCGACGCTGGCGGAGGCTCCCTCGACTCCTTCGCGATGAACATTAACCTGGTCGACATCGGGTCCTGACATGGAAGCCCTGATCTTTCCGATAATATAACTCAGCTCAGTAAGTCGTTCGTTCACTCGGTTCTCCAGACTCAAAAGCACGTCAGAGTTGAGTTCTAAAAGACCTTGGCTCCGTTGCTCCGCTTGAAGCGCCTTGGCCGCGAAAGGATTAGCCATTAGGAGGTTATGTTGCTTGATACCTGCTACAGACAATACCGTCTGAAGGTCGTGACAAGCCTTGTAACATCGCTTCAGCTTGTCTTTCAGCTGTCTGTTTTCTTCTCGAGCTGATTGACACTGGTACACAGCGGCATCTCTCAATTGTTTCTGCTCGTCGAAAAGCCCCACGCCAGCCTTCAACAGTGTGGCTTGAGTCTTTCGCATCTTCAAGAACATCACACGAGTCTCCAGTGCCTGCGACTCCGCTCTCAGTCGATGTAGCTCATCCTTCCGACGTTTCCACGAGAGATTGGATTTCTTTGCTGACATGACTGCCGGCTGCTTATGCGTTGCAGAGCTGGATAGTACTGGCGACACCGCCTCGAAGTGCATTGCAGTGCTGGTATCGGATTAAGTTGAAGAATGCTGCACGAACGAGGTCCGAGCCGTTTTTGTCAGCTTTACGCCGGTCCGACGCTGAGATGCTCAGTGGGCCATAATCAAACATGTGATACAGTACATGTAACAGCAGATAAGAAAGGTGGATAGGATCACAGCTGGGACAGTCAGTTAATTTAGGATACTGTAGCCATCCCAATATTTTAACCCCTCAGTTACCAGAAGATCCGTGTTGGAACCGCCTATTTTACGTCGTAAGTTACGACTTTATTTTAGTATATTTATTTGTATGGATGTGTCTTTTCCACACTGGATTCCCGCTATAAACTGTCAGAGGATATTCTGAGCTACGTCGTATGAGTTACGACATTATGAGCACGTCGTATCACGAAAAGCAATAACTTACGACGTTCAAGTATTGTTTTTGTCGAAGCAGATGCCTATTTACACATCCGTAGAGATCCTCGTACAACAGAGAAAGAGCTACATTTACATAAACTAAGTGCTGTCCAAACGCATTCAAACGATTGCCGATTGCTGAGCTGGCTGATCCTCTTCATTGTCGGCCTCGCCGTCTTGTTGACAGAGCAGCTCACGCCGAGTTGGTTTTCGAGTACCAGCCTTGGCTGATCGTCGCAAGACGACTCGCTTGCCGAGCGATGCTGGGATGGAAGCCCCACTGTCAAAGTCTTCGTGCCAAATCTGATAGCATGTTTTGCGCACGCCTCCGTAGCTATGGCGCGACTTGGGGCAGAGGAAGCACTTTGCGTCTGCGTGTGAGCAATCCTCACAATAATAGGTCGTTTGAAAGGATTTTTTTCGATCGCCTCGTAGAAGAGCGCATACTTTGCAAGAGCGTTGCCGGCGCTTTTGGGTGCCTGAAACGGTGACCCAGTCGTCGAACTGGATGTGTTTGTGACCGTCTAGTCGGCGGCGCTTGCGAGAGCGAGCCATAGGAGAAGGTGTAGGAGCAGTAGCTTCAATGAAGTCGTCGGCTTTGAGCTGCATCAATTGCTTATGAAGTAGAAGATACCATTCTCCACGATCTTTTGGTACCAGCCTCTTGATCCGGCATGTTTCCTTGTGTGTGAGATACGCATTGACGAGTGCCATGTCCATGAAACCCATGAACAGTGACTTGTAATACTTCCTGAAACGGAAAGCCGTTTGGATTGAATAGGACTGCAGGCGAAGTTGATCATGTACATCAACTCCGCCCATCCAGCGTTGGTAATCAGTAACTAACTTTGGGCATTTGACGCAAGACGGCCCGACCATCTTGACGTTACGACGAATAGAGTCCTCTGCCATGACCGGACCCGTGGCCAGGTAGTGGACCGGCTTTCGGTCCCACCAGTGGCAAGCTATCATGGTCGGTATAGCAGTGGAGCGATTTGTCTCCTTGGTGATGGTAACCCACAGTGATTTTGGTAGGAAGTAAAATAGAAGCAGCAAGGGAGAATCCGCAATGTCCTGTAGCTCCCTGATCGGTACGGCGACGTCCGTAGACAGGCGAGGGTACCCTCCACTGTCAGCTTCGAAGATGGACGAAGGAGGACTCCATTCAAAGCTCCGGAGTGCGGCCTTGTCGATCGACTCCAGTGTTAATTTGCCACCTAACGCCTCGACAAATGCGTCGTCCATCAGAGCAACGTCTTCATCGTCCTCAAGTGTGTCGTCGGGGTACTCACGCCTCACGATGATATCGTCGCCACTATTGTCGCTGCTGTCGCTGCCACTAGAATCGACGGCCTCGTATTCATCCGAAAGATCTCCATCGCCCATAACATTCACGTCGGTTACCGGCAGTGCCACACGGCAGTCATCCTCCACAGTCTCACCTCCACACACACTTGCGCCTTCCTCCTCCACACTGGCGCAACCATCATCGTTGTCGTCCGAATTGCTCGACTCGGCGCCTGACAGGAGCCGCTGGAACGCCCCCACGACCATCTCTCGATCTGACTGCTCCAACGTATCCTCCGCTTCCGACTGGGGGTCACTGTCCGTGCCAAACATCGCCGATAAGGTGTTGGCCGACAGCGCGATGGATGTGTCTATCTGTGACGCCGTCACTGTAACGTCCACCGGCACGACCTCATCACTGCCCACCTCCCTCTCACTGTCGCCACTCTCTTCAGCAATAAGCCCAGTCTCGATTGCATAAGCCACCACAGCATCCTCCCCTAGACAAGTGATATAAATTAGACAAATGAAGCACATAACCATATACGAGCTTCGCACCAGTGAGCGACTTCCCGTCCGGCGACGTGTACGTCCACTCCTTCGCAAGTCCACTGGAAGGTCTCTTCGACGTCCATCCCACTGCACGTAGCTGCCGCCAGAGATGCTTGAAGTCGATGGCACGCACGTCCATCGTGCTGGCAACTGCTGATTGCTTCGTCCGCGTACTTGATCGAACTCTCGCCATAGTGGCAAGTTCTTGAATGAGACACCAGTGGCTCGAGTCGGCGCTCTCGGCCACTCATCATTCTGTTCGGTGCAGCACATCTACCCTTCCCCCACCCTTTCTTTTACATTTGCCGAATCGACCTCTTTCAGCTTATATAATTTGCCTCCAAACTTTGACTTGGTTAAAGTATCGTGCCCTCTTTTTTCGAGCCATTTTCTGTTTGAAGGCTCGAATTACGTCGTAAGTTACGACTTTCGCCCTACTCAAAGTCGTAACTTACGACGTTGGTAACAGAGGGGTTAAATTTGGAGTCCAACTTGGACACTGAATACAGAAGTCATCGTGCAAAAACTCGTTCGCGTTGAAGTCGAGTCAAGCGGTATCTATACAGGTGTTTCGGTCGTTGCAATAGTAATGAACGAGGCCCGAAGCGTAAATAATTGCCCCTGTTTCAAGTTTTTGTTCATTGAGCTACTGTATTAACCAGTTACGTTTAATGCGTTTCCTGGCAAGTCTAACAGCGCGTTATCTATGAGTTGGTGACGCGAGTTGAGAAAACTGCGCATTGAAGTCATCATGACATCGCTGACACTGCGTGCAAGCAACAACGAGTCGTTATCGTGGTTCTGAGCGCTCTCATTGGTTTGAAGACGCATTACCAACTGGAGCTGGGAGTAGCTGGAAGTTGCGGTTGGTCGCACGGCCACCCAGCCTGAGTCTCACGTCGCGTGTTGCCGTCTCTCGAGCTCGAGGAACATACAACCCACTCCGTAGTCGACTCAATAAGCGCCGTGAACCCTTCAGGAACCTCGACCCGTTTCATGAGGCAACAAATTCGCATTTCTGCGTTACCGCCATCGTCGAGGTTAAGTTTTAAACACCCTTGTGACGCTCAGAGCGCATGTAGGCGTGAGCACAGCGTTCGTCCGATACAACGCCGAGCTTCATCACATCCCCCACTGTGTTTGCTGTCACGGTGGCCGTGAATGGTAGTAGACGCGTACGCTTGAATTCCAGCGCTGAGGCACCCTGCGCTCCACCTCCACGATGCACTTGAACTAGATCGAAGTCGGTGCTAGCGTTGGACGTTGCAACGTACACGTCGCGTAGATCGTGGACCCTCTTGTTCAGTCTCTGTTCGAGCAGGTTGAACAGCATTGGGCCGGCAGTGTCGATGTGCTCAATTTTTAGATCCTGCAACGTGGAGTTGATGCTTACTTTCGTTAGTGACGCATTGATCGTTGTCTTGAGACTGTCACAAGTTTGCATGCAACGCTGCAGTTTGCTTTTCAACTGCGTATTTGTGTCTTGTGCTTGCTGGCACCATTGTTTCTCCATGTCAGCAGCATTTTTCCATCGGTTTCGAGTTTCAGCTTCTTGTTGCAAGTTTCCGATTGCTTGTAGCTCCAAGTTTACTTTGTACTCGTGCAACGCTTTCACCTCAGCTCGGAGAGTCTGCAATTCCTCTCTGCGGCGCTCCCATGACAATTTTAGCTTCTTCGTGGATGAACGCGATGCAGTGTTTGCTTTGCGCTTGGGTTCCACGCGTTTCATGCTCTTCAGCGTGTCAGGAGCGAAATCGGACACGTCCATTTCAAGCAGAAAGCTGTCGAGCACGCGCTGTTCCGCAGACGACAGTAGCATTTGCTGTCGTAAAGCCTTAGCGCCGTTTATCGTGAGCTGACGTTGTAAAGTGGGGGCGTGGAATGAGGTTCCTTTCTTATCCTAAGATTAGCCACGCGGTACGGACGGTGGGAAGAGTGCTTCATGCACTCACTGGACGTGAAAACTGCACCATTTGGGCCGTTTGGCCCAATCCATTTTTAAAACAGCGGCCTTCACCGGTAACGGGACAACAGAGCTCAATGTTTCGGTGCAAACACAAGTATCTCATTCGTTTTTGATATTAGAGATCGACGTATCTTCAGGACACCTCCGTCATTAAAAAAGGGGCTACGCTAGAGCCTATTAATACCTCACAATGAATGTCTTCAGGAATCGAAGCAAGTCTTCATCTCTAATGCACTGTAGCCATACTTAAGGCGCTACGATTTTGCGGCATCTGAAGCAAACGGAAGTGGCATTTAACCATTAAAAGGCTCTTACAAAGTGAAGGTTCACTCTGGGGACTTCGTTACATGTATAAGCAGAATCGGACACAATGTCCTGCTACTTGAACGAATTCCATCACGTGGATGTCCGTGCAGAATCGAGCAGTGTGTTTTCCAAAAGCTGGTGTCTCGATTGTATCATTTCGCGAAAAGACGAGATCACCACTTCACTGACAGCAGTGGTAAGTTGCGTCTGAGTTAACTGCTGGTCGCAAACGCCAGCTTCGCTCGAATCAGCCGTAGTGAGTCGTAGCAGCGATTGCACTCGACACATACTCGTAGACCCGTCCGTTTCCAACGGATACACAAAGGCCCAACTGTAGTGGGTATCGAAACTCGAACACACACGAGGGAAGCTGGCGCTTCCTTTTAGCCTTGATCTATTGCTTGCTTTGAGGTAAAACTCAAACTCCCTGACTAAACTTATCACTACGGCTTATCGGTACGTGATGTCACGTCCTCGACTATACCTTATAGCTCTCGACTATACCTTACTACTTCCTATGCCAGCTTGGCCGCACGTTCTGTGCGGCCCAGTGCAGTGGGCAAGGCTTGGTCACCAATGCACCAACCACTACACCGCCCCTTCAAGCCTTGACCACTCTTTCATGGTGCCTGAACACGCAATGCCTAACCATGTTTCTTGAGTGTTGCTTGAATGTTGTCTGAATATATGAGAGCTCGTAACAGTCACTCCCGACCATCACTCTGCAACTTCAAGTTGCACTTCCAGCAAATCTTGCATTCCGATTTAAATGCTTCAATAGACCGTTGTCAGCGGCGCTTGTTGCGTACGCTCGTATCGTTATTGGGATATCCTTCCACAATGATGACAGCGGTTCCCATGAGTCCTCGATTGGCTCTAGTCCTTTCCAAGACACCAGTATCTCGTAACCCTTCCTATTGGGGCTCCACCGGTGCTCTTTGAGCTCGGCCACCGATAGTACAATTCCTTGGGACGCTACGTGCTCTCTGACTTCTTCAGTCACTTCATAATCCTTGTCCGCGTAGTACTTTAGTCTAGACGCGTGAACGTTTGTTTCTACACCAGTCACGAGGTGTCGGACCACAAATGAGTGTACATCCGCACGCACAATCTGGTACGGCCCAACCCAAGTAATCAACAGCTTGTCCTGGTGTTTCTGGTCTACTCTAGACCTCAACACAAAGTCACCCACACTGAAATTGGCCTTCCGTGCACCAACCTTCTTGTCTTTGTTCCTTCGGGTTTGCTTCGCACGTTCTTTTTCCACTGCACGATGCATTTTATGAATACTTTCTCGCAGCTCCTCGAGCTTTTGCGATATTAACTCGGGCTGCTTAGTCATCTCCACAACTCGCTTCTGCTCTGGGTCTACACAAAACTCGAGTGGGCTCGGTAGCGGCAGCGCACAGAATAACTCCACAGGAGCCTTGTTCCCAAGTGACGGCAGTGGTGTATGATTTATACTTGCCTTTAGCAGCGGTACAAAAGATGTCCAGTCCTTAATGTCCTTTTTATACTCTAGACAGAGTACTCTGAGCACTTGGATCACGTCACGGTTCACACGTTCGATGCTACCATTGATCCAGGGGCTGTAAGCCACCGTGAAACTTTGTTCGCATCTTAGTCGTTTGCATACGTCTGCTACAACTGCATTCTTGAAATGGCTACCTTGGTCGCTCACCCATACTGGTGGAATGCCGTACCGGCCGTGCCAGTCTAGGATGGCCGCCACCGCTACAGCACTATTGGGGGTCGCACACGGCACCAGGTCACAGTAGTGAGTCGCCTCATCCTTCAGTACAAGTAGATATTTGTCACTGCCAAATGATTCACCTACAGTGAGAAAATCCTAGTGTAGAACTCCATTTCGCTCGTGACAACGTAGTGTTTCACCCCAAGGTCGCTGCACCACTTTACCGCCCTTTACATGCTGACACAACAGGCATGATGTCAAAAATTTATCCACTTTTGCTCGTAAATGATCCACAAAAAACTGTCGTTGTAGTTGCTCCATCATAGTGGCTCGTCCTCTATGACCTTGTGCACCACAATGTGCTACGATCATGAGGCGCTGGAGAAGTACCTCCGCTGCTTCTGGGATCCACAGTCTTCCTTTGCAGTACCAACCCTTGCCCGAGTTACCCCGAGTCAAAGTATCCGCTGGTACAGTACTTCTGTGCTGCTCTTGAGCCACAATAATCTCGTTAAGTGTTGGCCACGTGAAGTTTGGGTCGTCAAACGGTCGTATTACCGCTCTACTAGCAGTCTTTGCTGCGTTGTTGCTTGCTATAGTCGATGTAGTGCTCACTGGTCGTGTCGTCAGGGTCCTATCTACCTCCCCTCCTCGACGCTTGGCCTGCATCGTCGGGATCCTATCTTCCTTCCCTCGTCGACGCTTATTCCGGCTTACCGGAGTCCTTTCTTCCTCTCCTCGCCTGCGTTTCCGTAACACCATAGCTCGCAGAGCTACACCATTGTCGTGATCGCCAGCCCACCTCGACACCATATCAGCCCACACATTGTTGGTTCCGTCGATATGCTCGATGTGGTAACGGTATTCTGTTAACTTCATTGCCCAACGCAACAGTTTGCCCCTGATGTGCTTCTTGACTTCCTTTCCTGGCGCAAAGACGTAGATTAGATTGCGGTGATCGCAAAATAGCCGGAAGCCTTGCGGGCGTAAAAGCAGATAGCTGAGTCGATCACATGCACAAATGATTGGGTACGCTTCTTTCTCGATGACACTCCAGTTGCGTTGCGAACCCGTAAATGTGCCGCTTACGCACACCAAAAGCTCATGCTGTTGTTCTACTACAGGTTTCCCAGTCTGCCACTTGCGCACTTGACTCACAATGATGCCGAAGCCAATATCGGATGCGTCAGTGATGAGGCACATCACTGCCTCTGGATCAGGGAAAGCCAGACTTGCTGCATTTACTAGCTTGTCCTTTAAGCCATCAAACGCCTCTCGTTCGCTGTTTGACAACTCTATGCCAATTCCAGACGCTACACGTTTTGTCTTCTTTGATGCAGTAGAAAGTACTTGATCCAGCTTTTCCTGTAGTGGTGTAGCTGCTCTGGCGAAGTCCACAACACTCTCACGCATCCAGTTGGACGCACAGAGAAATTGCTGTAACTCACCAGCATTGGTAGGATACGGTACGGTACTCAACGCTTTAATACGCTCCGGGTCGTGGCTCACACCAGCACCGGTAATGATCTTACCACACCACTTAACCTCCGATTCGTACAGACTCGACTTCGACACACTCAGTTTAAAGCCAAAGTAATCAAGTAGCTCGAACAATCTTTCCAACTTTGAGAGATACGTCTTAACATCGACTGCATAGAGTAGCAGGTCATCTATCCACACCAATAAGTGCTTGTACAACAGTTCTTGTAGGCACTTCTCAATCGTTGCTTGAAAAAACAAAGCTGCATCGCAACTCCCTTGTGGTACGCGTCTTGGCGTGTAGATCTTTTGGTGGGTCATGTAGGAGAGTATTTCTTGGCAAGCTTCATCCAAAGCAATCTGCCAGTACCCTTTGATAAAATCAAACAGCCCAAAGAACTGACATCCTCGCACCGATTCCAAGTCAACTTGCGGGTTTGGCATGACGCCTACAATACCATCAATCTGGAAATTTGTTGGTTTGTAATCTGCTGTCTGTCGAAACTCGTTAGTACCAGGCTTTCGAACTGGCAGAGCTGGACAAGCCCATCTACTATTAGGACTCTCGTAGATCCATCCAAGTCCCTCCAATTTGTTGTCAAAGTCCTCCATAAACTTTCTGACCTCCGGCGGATACTTCCTTGCCTTACATTTGTAAGGTTTAGCATCCTCTTTCAGTCGTATTCGCATAGGTGGCACTCGAGCAGGAGGGTCGTTTCCCAGCGTCAATCTCCAAATATCAAACCTCGTCGCGATTCTCTCCAATTCTCCAAGATAATCCACCGGAAAATTACGCTGCTTGGCTTTTTCAACCAAACCTCGCACCAATTTGTTAAGTTCATCACTCAACTCTGGTCTCGAGCTCACTTCAGGTTCATCAAATTCATCTACTTCGTCATTCTGGCCTTGGCTAGCCAGCATTTCCAACTCTCTGTCAACGTCAATGCCCAAAGAGGCCAGCATCTCTTTACCAAGGAGAAATTCTTCGAGTTCACCGGGTACAATCAAACATTGTACCGGAGAGCTGATCGACACTGGTCCTGCCGCTGTTCGTAACGTGACATTCACATTTACTGCTTTCCTTACCTCCACATCACCGCTCACCGTAATGCACGGAATGGGATTCTCCAACTCCACACTTTCGACTCCCGGACACACCTTCTTCAACCGATTAAACACTCGCTCGCTCATACTTGACTGCGTCGCTCCACTATCCGCACAGAGCGGAACACTCAACACACCTTCAAGCAGTACTGTACCGCCTTCTGGTGGAAGACACTCGCGAATACGACAGGCCTTAATTGCGTCATCGTTGCTGCTGCTGCCCGTCTTTTTTCCTCGACAGATATTCTTCACGTCTTTTGGCTCGGATTGC